TTACAGACATCAGACCAGGAGCAGCTCCACAACAGCTTTACAGACATAATTTAGCAGCTCAATATATTTATGTGGCAATGGGGGGACGCCTGTAAGAAAACATACAGTCTTGTGGCTATTATTTTGGGGGAACAGCACCTCTAAGAAAACATATAGTCTCATGGTTATTATTTTAGTGAGCAGTACCTGTAAGAAAATGCACAGTCTTGTGGCTATATTTTGGGGAGCAGCAATAAGAGGGTACCTCCAATGTGAACTACATGGTATCCCACTGACAGTGCCCATGGATGTTGACAAAATCAGATCAATGCCTTTGCGGCTGAGGAAGCAGGGGAAACACATGGAAGTGACTGAAGGGTCTGCGGTGGTCTGGGTGGAACGGCCCCCACGGGCTCTCGGATCCTAGTGTTAGGTCCCGGCTACTGTTCTGGAAGGAGCAGGAGGTGTCAGGGGAGGTGTGTCATTGGGCTGGGCTTTGAGGTTTCAGAAGCCCTTGCCAAGCACAGTCCTGAGCTCTCCTTCTCTGCCTCTAACTCGAAGGGAAGATGTAAACTCTCGGCGGCTACTGCTCCAGTTCCATGCCTGCCTGGATGCTGCCATGCTCCCAACCAAGATGAAACTGTAAGCAAGCCCCCAATTAAATGCTTCCTTTTATAAATTGCCTTGGTCTTGGTGTCTCTTCACAGCAACGGAACAGTGACAAGGACAGAGTTGCTCAGAATCCACCTGAGTGACAGCAATGTTCTACTTGATTGTGGTACTTGGTTTCAGGTGATTGCATACTGTCTAAACCTCACACTGTACATTTCACACCCAAATTTCAATGAATATAAATTTATCTCAATGAGGCTAACTTTTAGTAAAACAAAAAAATAAATTATTTTTAATTTGGGATTATTTTGTGTATTATATATAAAACTAAAGCAAAAATATAAAAAAGACTAAATTTTAAAAATGCTTGACAAATACTTCAGTGCATTTATATACAATGGCAGGATAAATACAGACTGGGAAGTAGGCTAGATGCTTACAAATACTATACCACCCACTCAAAGAGTGTCCTTCATGAGAACTAGCACATCTTAAGAAATAGCTGCACTGCAAGTGAAAACTCCATAAACCAGAGCTCCCATACTGACCACAGGTGTGTGTGAGCTTTACAACCACAAGAAAATCAGTGAATTCCAGGGTTGTTCATCCAGCCCAGGGTTGATGTGAAGATGAGGCGTATTAAAGCTGGTATGTCAACAATGGGGACAGAACTCAATGGCAGAGCACATGGCCATCATAGGCCCAGTGTGAACCCCAGGAACACACACACACCAACAACAGAAAACCTAGTGTAGGCCCACTGGAAATCAATAAGGAGGCTATAGTAGGAAATTACCAATACGGAGTCAGGTAGAAATAAAAGGGTATTTAATAGGGAAAAGCCTTACTTACAGAGCGGCCTAGCCAGCCAGCGTGGAAGCAGTCTATACAGCAAGTACAAAAAGTGAAACCAAAAGAGAAAACGCAGTCCCATGCAAGTATCATTCTACGTCACCCTGACCACGCCCTCTCGAGTGTGGTCAGGCACACCTGTAGCCAGCCCCTAAGTAGGCGTGGCTACAGCTTCCCCTACAGGAGGCTCCCAGAAAAATGACAACAGAACCACTGTGCAATCCAGCTGTGTCACTCCTGGGTATAGACCCAAAGAAATCAAGGTCAGCACAAATGACACCAGCATGTTTGTGCTTACTCACAACGGCCAAAGACTTGAGCCAGACTGGAAGCAAAAAGCAAAAAGCAGTGTATATACTCAATGTGACTTTATTCAGACACATGATGTCACTCCTATGTGGACTCACACTTTTATGAAAGTAGAAGAGGAACTATTAACATGTGGGAGGCGAAGACACCTAAAAGACAAGGAAGGTAAGAAACAGTGATTCTCATGCATCGTGTGTGTGTGTGTGTGTGTGTGTGTGTGTGTGTGTGTGGGTGTGTGTGTGTGTGTGTGTGTGGGTGTGTGTGTGTGTGTGTGTGTGGGTGTGTGTGTGTGTGTGTGTGTGGGTGTGTGTGTGTGTGTGTGTGTGGGTGTGTGTGTGTGTGTGTGTGTGGGTGTGTGTGTGTGTGTGTGTGTGGGTGTGTGTGTGTGTGTGTGTGTGGGTGTGTGTGTGTGTGTGTGTGTGGGTGTGTGTGTGTGTGTGTGTGTGGGTGTGTGTGTGTGTGTGTGTGTGGGTGTGTGTGTGTGTGTGTGTGTGGGTGTGTGTGTGTGTGTGTGTGTGGGTGTGTGTGTGTGTGTGTGTGTGGGTGTGTGTGTGTGTGTGTGTGTGGGTGTGTGTGTGTGTGTGTGTGTGGGTGTGTGTGTGTGTGTGTGTGTGGGTGTGTGTGTGTGTGTGTGTGTGGGTGTGTGTGTGTGTGTGTGTGTGGGTGTGTGTGTGTGTGTGTGTGTGGGTGTGTGTGTGTGTGTGTGTGTGGGTGTGTGTGTGTGTGTGTGTGTGGGTGTGTGTGTGTGTGTGTGTGTGGGTGTGTGTGTGTGTGTGTGTGTGGGTGTGTGTGTGTGTGTGTGTGTGGGTGTGTGTGTGTGTGTGTGTGTGGGTGTGTGTGTGTGTGTGTGTGTGGGTGTGTGTGTGTGTGTGTGTGTGTCTGTGTGTGTGTGTCTGTGTGTGTGTGTGTGTGAGTGTATGTGTGTGAATGTGTGTGTGTGAGAGTATGTATGTGAGTATGTGAGTGTGAGTGTGTATATGAGTGTGTATATGTGAGTGTGTATATGAGTGTGTATATGTGAGTGTGAGTGTGTGTGTGTGTGTGTGTGTTAGATATGGCAGAGGGGAGCTAGCTAAGGAGGGATGGAAGGGATAGACTGTAGGGGGAAAAGGACAGGAGAGTGATGGAGAAAGCCAATATGAACAGAGCTCAATGATAATGTGTGTCTGAAAATTTCATCATGAGGCCCATTATTTTCTGCACCAACTAACAGGATGGGAACATAGGAATAAGAGCCTGATGGTGTACATCACAGCTATGTATGTCCTCAACAGACCAGGTGAATAATGAAGAAGCTTCAAGCCACTCTACAAGGCTGACTGAGGGCAAACCAAACAGAAAGCAAGTAGCAGGGGCAGTGTTCGAGCCAGTTCTCCCTGGGGTAGAGCGGATGGAGGTGGCCTGCTGTCACCTTCTCTCTGTGAGTGGCAGGCACAGACAGAAGACTGGCTGGCCATTCAGAACTCAAATGCTTTGTTTGTGACGGTGTCACAGTTGGGGTAAGAGACACCTGAAAGGTAGCTTATCTGTGTTCCCAGGAAGTGCTTCAGCCTGGTATGCATGCTGACAGGGCAGCACCCTCAAGAGGGGTCCCACAAGTGGCTTCTGGCATATTTGACTGAAGTTTCCAGCAGGTGGCCTCAACATTTACTTTGTAGTCTGGACTAATAGTCTTTTGCTTTGTCAAAGGGCACTAAAGGGGACCACATATGCAGCTGAGAGCCTTACGCAGTTGCATCATCCCTCACGCCTCCAAGTTACGGTGAGCCTTTTGCTACTGTGGACCTTTGGACACCAGCGTCCCAGTGAGCCGCTGCACAAAGCACTCTATTCCACATTAGCTATGGATTTTTAGATATTCAGTGATAAGATGGCAACAGACATGGATGGCACCCAACAGCAGGGACCAGGCCCTAGCACCCTTTGTGCCTCCAGGCTGGTTTTCAGTGAGTTCCAGGGAGAAATCCACTAGGCCTGACAGAGCATTCAAAAGGCATCTACAGTGTGAGCACAATGGATGGCCTGAACCAGAGAAATGGAGCATCTTCATCCCTTTTCAGGGCCCCTCAAATTCAGCTCCCTCCCCAGCACAGGAAGACATGCCCTCTAACAGACTTAACCAAAAGGACATGGGCTCACAGTGGAGAGGATGGACCAAGCAGAGGAAAGGAAGAGCTGCAGGACACCAGTGTGGCTATAATGATGATGCCAAACATGCTGAGGACAGTTATTCTGGCAGAAGGCCTTCTAGGCAGGGGGCCCAACATTTACCAAGATGAAAAGGAGCTGGATGCCAGCAGTTTGAAGAAGCTTCAAGTCACTCTACAAGGCTGACTCTATGAGGTAAAGGGAAGATGAGATGGCAGAAGGCACAGACAAGGAACCAGGAAAGTCACACTCCATCAGAAAGAGGACGGGAACAAACCACAGATTTTAATGAGGCCATGCCATAATCAAACCATCACTCTGAAAAGATCAGTTAACAGCACAAAGTGAGAATACCGGAGGGGCCAAAAGTAGGGACAGACAACAGGGTTGAAGTAATC